CGTTGAATCTCAGGTTCAAGATAATGATTTTTGTTGTAGTACGTAACTGCACTATTGAAAGAATACATTGGTAATAGTGGTGTATGATTTTGAACAATTTGTGGATGCATTAGATTTGGATGTCATATGTAGATAATTTAAGAAGAAAATAGCAACACAGAGGATACTCCTTTATGTGATGCACCTCTTTTAAAAGTTTGAATAACCACAAGAATATAAAAAAACTAACTTATATGTGTATATTATAAAGCTACTGGCTATGTATGTCGTGTACTACCTACTACTTTAAACTACAACTACGAAAATAAAAGAGTCTTGAGATTATGTATTTAACCACACACACATTCACACACTACTACATGTATATGTTACAGCTCAGCAATTGTTACAGCTCAGCACTCTTAGATAGTGATATTAGCATTAGTTAGTAAGTATTAGAGAAGTGGTTAGCTGTTAGTTATTCTGTTTAAATACACGTGTAAATATCTTAATCAATGAGATAGTTTTCATTCTCTCAGAATTTGGAAGCTTCTTCTCCACATTTCTCTTTCTAGGTTCACACATTTGTTCTGCCAATGGAGCTCCTTCTGAGCTCAACTCATGTTGCTACTTCGATTTTGACATGGTATCAGAGCCGAGGTTTCGATCTCGACCTCATTCTCGCAGTTTCTCCGTGTTAATTTAGTTCTAGCTCGTTCGATTGAAGAATTGTGGTGAGAAATTAGGGTTCATCCCAGATCCAATACTTCTGCTATTTTGACTGCAAATTTACCTCTATCTCTGTAAATTTTCTACTTGAATCATGTCTAAAGAAGGCGATGTTTTGGATTCGACTAATCCCCTTTACATGCATCCGTCTGAGAGTGCCGAGTCTATGTTAGTGCCGGTACCATTTGACGGAACTGGATACAGATCCGGGAGAAGAGGAGTACTGAGGGCTCTCTCTGTAAAAAAACAAAGTAGGTTTCATCACGGAAAAATGCAAAAAGCCGGATTCTAACGCTTCGACCTTTGAACAATGGGAGTGTTGCGATGATATGGTCACATCGTGGATTTTGAACTCACTCTCAAATGAGTTGCCAGATAGCTTGCAATATGTCAGTGACGCTAAGGAACTCTGGGAGGAATTGGAGGACAAGTATGATCAAACTAACAGTGCGAAGCTCTATCAACTTCAAAGGGAAATCAACGATTAAAGCCAAGGAGCTCTAGATATTACTGGATACTACACAAAAATAAAAATACTATGGGAAGAATTAAATACCCTAAATGCACATGCTGAATGTAAGTGTCAGTGCACTTGTAGAGCCAAAGTAAATATGCACAAAGCAAAACATGATAGGAGACTGATTCAATTCCTCATGGGATTAAACGAGGTGTATATAGTGGTGCGAGGCAGCATTTTGATGATGAATCCTTTGCCTAGCTTGGCACAAGCCTTCTCAATCCTTATTCAAGAAGAAAAGTAAAGGGAAGTAAGGACTCATAATCAATTTGTACTAGAGTCTACTTCACTAAATGTGAGTGATGCAGGCAATAACAATTTCCGAATAAATTACACTCACAACACCAACACTGGTGAGAACAATGGACTCAGGGGGGCAATTTTCAGGAAGGCACGGAATTTTTGCGAGAATTGTAAGAGGCTAGGACATACGAAGGATAAATGCTACAAACTTCATGGGTATCCGCAAAGTAACAATAACAACAAATTCAATAATCAACACATATTCAACAACAACAACAATAATTTCAACAACCAACAAATGTTCAACAGAGCCAACAAAGGCAAAGGGACTGCATCAAATGTTTTTGGTACACAACATGATGGGCTGAATATAGGAGAAAATGAAGGTGATTTCCAGGATCAAAATCGAAGCATACATAATCTGAGCAAAGAGCAATATGGTCAGTTATTGAGGCTGCCGGAGAATTTTCAGACTTAGTGTGGAAATGCAGGGTATGTTTCTGGGAGTGTCAACTTGAACAGTGGAGTTGTTAACTTCGCAGGTATTGTGGCATTCTCTGTTTATGTTGAGTGTAATTCACAATCATATGAGTGCTTTGAACCAAATATTAATTCCTGGATCCTTGATTCCGGAGCTATACACCACATGACCTATAAGAAATCCCTACTAACCAATATTAGAACCTTAGTTTATCCCTTTCTGGTATCACTACCTAATGGATATAAAGTAAAGGTGACACAACATGGTGAAGTAATTCTTAGCCCTAAGTTCACTCTAAAAAAGGTCCTCTATGTGCCTAGTTTCAAATACAACTTAAAATATGTACATTCCTTGACAGTGCAACTTGATTGTATTGTCATTTTTACCAAATTTGTCTGTCTTATTCTGCAGGCTCCTTCAATGAATAGGCCTCTGGATATTGGTAAAGCCAAGAATGGTTTGTATTTTTCGTGTTTAGAACTCAGCAATAGTAATTCTATTTTTAATTGTGCATCAAATAATTCTGTTTCATCCAGTGATTCTGTGTCATCCTGTACATAGAGTTTCAAATCCATCCTATGTATATGTAGATAAGATACATTCTCATGTCATCCATGTTGTAAATACCTCAGTTATAAATAAAGGAAGTGATTGTCTTGTGTCCAATTATGTGGCTGATGGATCCTTGAGAAAAAAAATCTTATAGATTCTTTGTGGCATAACAGATTGGGACATGTGCCTTTTGTCAAAATGAAGGGTATTTCATCCATACCAGTGACTTTTACATCTAAACAACCCTTCATTTGCCATATATGTCCCATGGCAAGACAAAGGAGGTTGCCTTTTCCCCAAAAGACCACATCTACAACCAAAAATTTTAAATTACTACACATTGATTTGTGGGGACCATACCATGTTACAATTCATGATGGCTATAGATATTTCATTACACTAGTGTATGATTACAGTAGGTCAACATGGACACATTTTTTGGCATGCGAGAGTAATGCATTGAAAATCCTAAAAGCCTTCACAGCCATGGTAGAAAACCAATTCAATACCTCAATCAAATCTATTATAACAGATAATAGACTGGAATTTACCAGTTCTGAAACTATCTCCTTTCTTCAAACTAAAGGTATTTTGCACTAGAAAATATGTCCCTACACACCACAATAAAATGGTGTTGTGGAGAGAAAACACAAGTATCTACTTGAAATAACAAGAGCACTACTTTTTCAATCAAAATTGCCCCTGAAATATTGGGGAGAGTGCAGTCTCACAGCCACATATCTGATAAATAGACTACCCTTTTCCCTCTTTCATAGTAAATGTCCTCTTGAACTGCTTTATCAAAAGGAGCCCACTTACTCACATCTCAGGAGTTTTGGGTGTCTTTACTTCCTCACTATCCTTAAAGGCCACAAAGACAAATTTTAGCCAAGATCAACACCCCATATTTTTGTAGAATACCCTTTTGGTACAAAAGGGTACAAGGTCCTTAGTCTAGCCACAAAGAAGATACATGTCTCAAGAGATATAATTTTCCATGAAAATGTGTTTCCTTTTGCTTTATCCTCTAATTCTAATAGGGTATCTAGTCTTGGTTAGGTTTCTTTGGCTTTTCAAACTTTTTCAAGCCAAACAGGATTCTCATCTAACACTGGTGGTACAACCACCATTCCCCACTCACCTGAATCACTTCACAATGCAGAGTCACATGTAACTTTGTCTGGTAGTGATCATTTGCAAATTGATACATACTCAAATGAACACACAACACCTAATTCACCTTCACCATGCCCTACAGGTACTAATATTTCCCATGTACCTGCTTTGCACCAACAGAACATGTCACTTATTTCTCACAGACCTACTAGAACACACAAAACACACGTTTACTTAAAGGATTATGTGTGCTCCATTCCCAAACTTCGACCCCATCATTATGTTCCTATTTCTCTTTGTGTGAAACCCTCCAGTAGCAATTCTAGTACATCATCTTTTTCCTTTAATACTTCAGTACCTCATGCACAATATGTATCCCTAAATGCCTTAATTCCAGATAGTCAACAATTTGTCAAGATCATCTCACTTGATTGTGAACCTAACTCATATGAAGAAGCATCCCTGAATCCTGCTTGGAAAGCAATAACAACACAAGAATTTGAAGCATTACATACTAATAACACTTGGGACTTGGTCCCTCTACCAGCTGATAAAAAGGCAATAGGGTGCAAGTGGGTGTACAAAATTAAACACAAATCATATGGGAGTGTTGAGAGATTCAAGGCAAGGCTGGTTGTAAAAGGGTACACACAACAAGCTGGGATAGACTACACTGAAATCTTTTCTCCAGTTGTTAAGATGACTACAGTGAGAGGGCTAATTGCAGCAGCAATTAAAAAGGGATGGCAGCTCTTTCAACTGGATGTGAATAATGCATTCCTTCATGGAGACCTTCATGAAGAAGTATATATGGTTATACCTCCTGGTCTGGTAGTAGAGAGGCCAGACTTGGTGTGCAAGCTAAATAAGTCCCTTTATGGCTTAAAGCAGGCAAGTAGGCAATGGTATGAAAAATTAGCAGAGGCATTGTGTTCCAGGGGGTATGTACATTCAATGTTGGATTATTCCTTGTTTTACAAGAAAGCTGGAGCTTCAGTCATTTTTGTTGCCGTGTATATCAATGATGTTATAATCACAGGGTCCCAACTAGATGAGATTGAATCACTAAAAGGTTTCCTACATGAGACATTTAAGATAATGTATTTGGGGAGGTTGAACTACTTCTTAGGGTTGGAGGTTTTGTATAAACATGATGGTGTCCTAATATCCCAAAGGAAGTTCACTATGGATCTATTGAAGGAATATGATTGTCTGCAGTATTCTCCAACATCTTCTCCTCTTGATCCTTCAATCAAGTTAAAGGTGGATGAGGGGACTCTACTGCGAGATCCAACATATTATAGAAAGTTGATTGGTAAACTGAATTTCCTTACTCATACTAGAGTCGACATTGCTTATAGCGTGCAACACTTGAGTTAGTTCATGCAAAGTCCTAGAGATCCTCACTTGAAGGCTGTATTTCATGTGCTAAGATACCTCAAAAGAGATCCAAATTTAGGCATCTTTCTTTCTAATAGTGAAGACTACAGAGTTCGAGCCTTCTGTGACTCAGATTGGGCAACATGTCCTCAGTCCAGAAAATCAGTAAGTGAGTACATAGTGCTTCTTGGGGCCAGTCCCATTAGCTGGAAGTCAAATAAAGAGTCTACTATTGCTCTTTCTTCTAATGAGGCAGAATACATGTCCACTAGGAAGGTGGTTGGGGAGCTGGTTTGGCTTGCAAGGCTGTTGATGAGCTCATTGTACCTCTGTCTTTCCCCATACCAGTCTTCTATGATAGCCAAGTTGCCCTACACATTGCTAAAAACCTAGTGTTTCATGAGCGTACGAAGCATATTGAAGTGGATTTTCATTTTGTCCGCAACAAACTTCAAGAAGGGCTGATTTCTTTACATTGCATTCCTACAAATGAGCAACTAGCCGACATATTTACCAAGTCTCTTACTGGGATCAAACATTCTTCCTTCTTAGAAAGTTGGGTGTGACCTCCTTACCTCCAACTTGAGTGGGGTACTTGAGATTATGTATTTAACCACACACACACTCACACACTACTACATGTATATGTTACAGCTCAACACTCTTAGTTAGTGATATTAGCATTAGTTAGTTAGTATTAGAGAAGTGGTTAGCTATTAGTTTTTTATATAAATACACGTGTAAATATCTTAATCAATGAGATAGTTTTCAGTCTCTGAGGAAGCTTCTTCTCCACATTTCTCTTTCTAGGATCACACATCTATTCCGCCATTGGAGCTCCTTCTGAGCTCAACTCATGTTGCTACTTCGATTTTTACAAAGAGAAATGTCTGAACTACTATTATGTGGAAGATCATTGCATCAATTTGTGAATGACATGTATATAGAGGTAGAAACAAGGAAAGTTGAATACTTTATGAAAGAGAAACTTTAGATGGAAAATATAAAATGACAGTGATATATAGTGTCACGAGAGAAAATTGAAAAGATATAGTAAGTCAAGACTAGCTATTTCCAGCCTATTCATTCAAGATCTTATGGATATGCGACGAAACTTACCACTTTACACATTTATTTTAGTTTTATGACTAATACTAATGTTTTTAGAATATATGCTATCAAATCTTCCTTTATATTTTTTTTCTACCTAGCACATATGTTTAGTTCTAATATATTTGTTATTTTTAAAGGTTACTGATATAGGATACAAGTGCAACACATGTGACCAAAAATAGCAAATTAAAATAGAGGGAGTATCTATGTTTGGCCAAGTATTTTAATATCACATCCCTTATAATATTTATAATTCCAACATTACCTCAATTACAAAATCTCTATACTATGCTTCCTTCTCTTTTCTTCTCCACAACGTTCTTCCACTTTTTTTTCTCTTCCTTGATAAAGACTTAAGTTGTTGGTATTTAACAGAAGCTAAGGCTAGACAACAATTGGTTCATACATGAAGATAAGTTCGGGGATGATAACAACACCAACCTTTTATGATTACATAAACATAAATTTGGATCCTCACGTTTAAACTTAATATCCGTCTTAGTCTTTGCTAGTACTGAAATTTTGTTAAATTGCAAAAATGGCAGCGCTCGAGTGCTTGTATGCAGAACTTGAGGGCAAAGGCAGGGATAAGAAATTGTACATGCTAGACAAAACGAAGGAGAGGAGGGCTGATATCTCAATTTCATGAATCCAGCAATGAATTCGATGATTGAGCAGCTGAATCAGTAGTTTTGCAGAGAAACTCGAGAATTCCAGCTATGTAATGAAGAAAATGTAGAAGAGAGAATTGAGAGGGAAATTGTAATAGCTCTTTATTGATGAGAAAGTAAAAATGTTATAATGTAATCCTTTTATGAATGAATACACTAAATTTCTCAGGAAGAATCTCCTCTCTTAACTAACTAACTAACTTCCTAATTAACAATAATTTCCAAGTGACTTGGCACTCGATTAACTGCCAACTGACTGTGCTGAGTTGGAGCTATTGAGCTTGAGCTGGATGTGATCATTATAAATTTTATATATCAATACTCCCTCATGTAGAATATCCTTGACCACAAAGATCAAAATGATGGAACCTGATCTTTAGTGCATTAAAAATATTCCATGCAGCATAATTTGATGGTAAGCTTATCCACTTAACTAAGACTTGAGCCACACTTTATTCCCTTTTTTCACCATTCTCCTTTCTAAAATGGACTCTGGTTTGGGACAATGAGGGCTGGCAATGTCAGTACTGGGAAGATAAGTGATCTGTTGGCAACTCATAGCATTTCTTTAATGACACATACACAGTGGTATAACTTCACTGATAGGGAAAATAGGAGTGTATATGCCACACCCACCTTCTTGATAATATAAAATGATCCATAGTATTTAGCAGCCAATTTGTGGAATGGTTGTGTAGCAATGCTCAGTTTCCTGTAAGGTTGAGTCTTGAAATAAACCCAATCACCAACTTCAAAATTTCTATCACTCATATGAGAATCATTTTGTTGCTTCATCCTTAACTGAGCTCTCAGCAAATGGTATTGCAATAGTTGTAATTTCAATTCTTTGTTGATGAGAGTGTTGTCTACATCAGCTGAAGTTGATTCACCTGGCAAATAAGACAAATGTAGAGGGGGTGGTCTTCCATAAAGAGTCTCATAAGGTATAGTTCTTATGGCAGAATAGAATGAAGTATTGTGCCAATATTCATCCATATGTAAGTAAGAATGCCAATCAGTAGCTTCCTCATAACAGAAGCATCTCAAATATGTTTTTAGGCATCTATTCAAAACCTCAGTTTGCCCATTAATTTGAGGATAATAAGTTGATGAGGTGTTTAGTTAGACTCTTTGTATTGTGAGCAGCTCCTGCCAAAAAGAACTTAAGAATACTGTATCCCTGTCACTGACAATGAAATCTGGTAGACCATTAAGTCTATAGACGTGTTTCATAAACACCTTAGCTACAGATTGAGAGGTATAAGGGTGTTTTAGATGAATAAAGTGGTCATACTTACTGAGCTTGTCTACTATGACTAATATCACCTCATACCCCTTGGACTTAGGTAGTCCATTAATGAAATCCATGCTGATTTGAGACCATACTACCTCAGGAATTGGAAGGGGTTGTAAGAGACCAGGATAAGCAGCTAAGTCGGCTTTATTCCTTTGACAAATGTCACACTTCTGCACAAAAAGTCTTGCATCTTCTCTTATGCCCTTCCAGTAAAATAATGTCAAGATCCTCTACAATGTTGCTTACATGCCAGAGTGACCATCTTGGGGAGTAGAGTGCCATGAAGCAATAATATCGAGTCGAAGCTGGGGCACTCTACCAACTATTAGCTTGCCCTTCCTCCTCAATTGATCCCGATACCGGGTAAACTAACTGTGAGCTGCAGGAATCACTTTCAGTTGTTCAATGAGCATCTTTAAATCAGGATGTGTGTCCCAGTTGTGTGATATGGCTTGTAACAACTTTGAGTTGGTAGTGAAAATGACCAATGAAAATAGCTCAACTCCAGATACTCTAGAGAGGACATCTGCCACCTTGTTTTCAATCCCCTTTCTTGTATTCAATGACATAGTCAAAAGACATCAATTTTGTCAACCACATTAACTAAGAATTGGTGTGAATCTTCTGTTCCATTAGAAATTTGAGAGCCCTCTGATCAGTCTTGATAATGAACTTCTGACCAAGCAAATATTGGGACCACTTTGTTATTGGATAAACAATAGCTAACAGCTCCCTATCATAAACTAAGAGAGCAGCATGTATAGGGGAATAGACTTTGCTGATAAAAGTAATATGGTCACCTTATTGCATGAGGACAACACTTATCCCTTGACCACGCGCATCAATCTCCACCATAAAAGTTTTGTTAACATCAGAAAATGCTAGGACTGGTGCTTGAGTTAAAGCAGACTTCAACTGCTCAAAAGCTGTAGAGCCAGCAGGTGACCATTTGAAATTATCCTTCTTAAGAAGATCAGTTAATAACTTACTGATAACCCCAAATTCTCTGATGAATCTCCTGTAGTACCCTGTTAAACCTAAGAATCCTCTCAGTTGCTTAATAATAGTTGGTAGGGGCCAATTCTTCACAGCTTCTACCTTTTGAGGGTCTGTTGAGACTCCTTCAGCAGTAATGAAATTCCCCATATATTATATTCTTTCAATCCCAAAGAATAACTTTCTATGCTTAGAAAATAGTTGGTGCTTCCTCATCTTATTGAACATAGACCTTAAAAGTAACAAATGGTCTTCCATATCTTTGTTGTAAATCAGTATGTCATCAAAGAAAACTAACATAAATTTTCTAAGGAAAACCTAAAAAAGTGAGTTCAATGGCCTTGAAACATTGCAGGAGCATTTGATAAGCCAAATGGCGTTACCAGATATTCAGAGGACCAGCATGAGTTCTAAGGTTATTTTTGGCACATCTTCAGTGGCCATTCTCAACTGGTGATAACCAAATCTTAGGTCTATTTTTTAGAATACCTTAAACTCTCCTAAATCATCCAATAGGTCTTCTAAAATTGGGATGCACAATTTATTCTTCACAATTTATTTATTTAAGTCTATATAATCAACACATAGCCTCCATGTACTATCCTTTTCAACTAAAACTACAGTTGCAGCAAAGGCACTTCTACTAGGTTGAATGATACTCTAGTTATTTGTTAGATTAATGATTTAATAATATCCTAACTGGATATTTGTTGGGTATTTTATTTACTGGTTCAGTACCAACTTGCAATATGATTATGTGATCAAACAGTCCTCTCGAGGGAGGTTATTGTGTAGGTTCCTTGAATATATCTTTAAACTCATGCAGAAATTTTAAGAGTCTAGGATCTTGTTCAGCTTCTACTATGGATTCTGGAGAACACCATTTTAGTATATTACACATAGCAGGTACTACTTGGATCCTACAAAGTAGAGATTGGTTACCTAAGATTTTGATTAATTTCCCAGTTCCAGGGGTCAAAATTTGTTTTCATGCTTCCCTGAGGACATGCTTCCTTCCCTTGTAGTAGAACTCTATGGTAAGGGTTCTAAAATTTATTTTGATATCTCCCAATGTCAACAACCATTGGACCCCAATACCACAGCACAAAATCCTAGTGGTAGCAGTAAAAACTCAGCATAGAACTCAGCCCTTTGCAACAACCATGAGATTTTACACACCTTATCAACTCTCATCACGTTTCCATTGGCTGTATCTACCAACTAGGGTGTAGTGGATTTAATAGGATACTTCAATTTTTCCACTAATTCTGGGTCAATGAAATTATGAGAACTACTAGTATCCACCAATATATTAA